ATAATAATAATAATAATGATAATAATAATAATAATAATAATAATAATAATAATAATAATAATAATAATGATAATGATAATAATAATGATAATAATAATAATAATAATAATAATAATAATAACAATAATAATGATAAAAATAATAATAATAATAATAATGATAATAATAATGATAATAATAATGATAATAATAATAATAACAATAATAACCATTATAACGATAACAATAGTAATAACAATGATAATGATGATAACAAAGATAGTTTCTACACCATTCAAACTAATGACACAATCTTTAAAAACTTTCCGTATTTCTAAGCGCCACCTTCGTGCCTCGTAGAAACAACGGAACAAGTAGAGCGAATTAGAGCGACGCGCGCCCCATATGGCCACCAAAAATGTAATTGTGTTTTTCCATGTCCTGGGAAAGTTAGTGACCTTTTCCTGTTGTGTGACGTAATTACTGAAATTGGTAACAACAGCATGAAACTTGTGTGGCACTCTGTCGCCGGAGGTCTCTTCTGTGACTATGATGCGTGTCACTGCAAAATCAACAGGCTTATCTTGTAAACAAATACAATGCATGTTTACGACCTTGGGGTTATTTTTGTATGTTTGTGTCTACACTGCAAACTCAAACATACACACTCACATGCATTCAGGTGAAAGTAGTGTGTATGTGTGCACAATATATATATACATACATACATACAAACATACATATATACATACATACATACACAGACACACACACACACACACACACACACACACACACACACACACACACACACACATATATATATATATATATATATATATATATATATATATATATATATATATATATATCTATGTGTGTGTGTGTGTGTGTGTGTGTGTGTATGTGTGTGTGTGTGTGTGTGTGTGTGTGTGTGTGTGTGTGTGTGTGTGTGTGTGTGTGTGTGTGTGTGTGTGTGTATGTGTGTATGTGTGTATGTGTGTGTGTGGTGTGTGGTGTGTGTGGTGTGTGTGCGTGTGTGTGTGTGTGTGTGTGTGTGTGTGTGTGTGTGTGTGTGTGTGTGTGTGTGTGTGTGTGTGTGTGTGTGTGTGTGTGTTTATATATATATGTATATATATGTATATATATGTATATATATGTATATATATATATATATATGTATATATATATATATATATATATATATATATATGTGTGTGTGTGTGTGTGTGTGTGTGTGTGTGTGTGTGTGTGTGTGTGTGTGTGTGTGTGTGTGTGTGTGTGTGTGTGTGTGTGTGTGTGTGTGCGTGCGTGTGTGTATTTATATATGTGTGTGTGTGTTTATGTGTGTGTGTGTGTGCACTGACGAAAGAAAATGCCAACTATTCATAGATCAGTTTGCATTCATCATCGACCTAGCTTCGTGCTGCCTGTGGGACGCCTGCCCCAGGCACGACCGCAACCTATGGCTACGAAGGAAGCAGGAGCGAGGGGCGCGGGACGGCCAACCGCGGCCGCGCCCAAGCGCCGCATGCGAAGCGAGCAAGACCAAGCTGGCCGCTACCTGCGACAAACGGAAGAGGGTAATGAGACAGGTGAACACTAACTCAACAACATCAAACGTGGAACTCGACTTGGGATTGGCTGCTTCTCCCCCGTACTTTACAATCTGATTGGTTGGTTGCTCATATCCTGATTTGGGATTGGTCCGCTCTTCGCCAATCACACGCGGCAGTTTATCGCTGAAGGGGAGAGGGGGCGGAGGAGGACCCGGGGACCCGTCCTCCACCTCGAACGACTGGCTCTTGTGGATCTGGTTAATGCGCTTCCTTATTCGCTGCGGTAAGCTGTTAGGGGTTAGTAGGGAGGTCAGTAAACACAGGGACGCTACTGGGGGACGTCTGGTCGCAGGGCAGGGCCTTGCGTTCAGTATTGTTGGCGAAGATGTTTGCATAAGTATTAGTTGTATTATTCAGTCTAATTAGTACTAAATGACTAAACTATTGTTAACCGGGTCTTTTCTTTTGCATGTCAACATCATACTTAAAGAGGCATGCATAGTTAGCTTTTACTTGACTAAATAAGAGAACGGATTTCAGGCTACATTCTTCCACTTTCTCTCTCTCCCTGTCAGTCATTCAGTCTGCTTTTCTATCTGTCTGTCTGTCTCTGTTTATCTGTCTGTCTGTTTGTCTGTCTGTCTGTCTGTCTGTCTGTCTGTCTGTCTCTCTCTCTCTCTCTCTCTCTCTCTCTCTCTCTCTCTCTCTCCTCTCTCTCTCTCTCTCTCTCTCTCTCTCTCTCGCTACGTACCTCGGAGATTTGTCTCCAGGTGGCAAACTTTTCTCTCTCGGATATCTCTCTCTCTCCCTCGCTTCTCTCTCCCCCTTCTCCCTCTCCTTCGTTTCCTTCTCCTGCAATCTCTCCATCAGTATCCGGCTCTTCTCCTTCTCCCTCTCCAGCTGTTGTCGGAGCTGCTCGGCCTCTCGCATGCCGAAGTCCCGGATGTTTTTCACCTCCTCGG